GTCGGATGTTTTATTGTGTTTTTTTTTTTGTTTTTTACAGGCTAGTGCTGGTTCAGATTATCGGTCTACTGGAAGCCATGAGACTTCTGTATTGCTGCTGGTTTCACTGGCATTGATGATCTTTACATTGTTATAGCTTAGCCCTCACAATGGATGCTCTTGCTGTATACATCACAGGGCTCATGGAAAGGCAGGCCACTCCGAACTGATACTTCAGGTGTAGGTGGATGCTGGTGGGCTGAATCTCTCTCTCTTGCCTCCTAAATCTATTAGAGGCTATAACCGAGAGATCTCTGCACTAGATGTACTACCATAGAATGTCATCTCCCTGCCAAGGAGGAAGCTTTGAAAGAATATGTCACTCTTTACATGACAATCCTGCCACTGCCTCCTGTTATTACTAACCTTCATGGCATAGCTTTAGTTGTCTGTAAGAGCCAATGGCCCTGTGTAGGCTTCAACACAGAGCTTACACCAGGATTTGTCTCTGGGCTATTAAGGACAAATTGAGCAGTGGGGTACGACGGCCCGTGGGGGTAGCAGTAGGCGGAAGCAATGTTAGTGGGTACAGGCAGTACTTCTTGCCTGGGCCTAATCCTGTCAGCCCACCAGTCCGGGGATGGAAAGTCTTTGTCAAGCGCAGCATGGTCACTGTCACATGAGCTGTCACATCTGGGTGGCGGTGAATGTGTTGTCAGTGCAGATTGGCTGGAGTGATGGCCATACAGGCTAGGTTCACATCTGTGCATGTGGTGCAGCTGCGGATCCACACGAAAATCCGTGCACCCACACAGAAGAATGCGGACCCGTGGGCGAGTGCCATTAGTTTTAATGGCATGCCGCCCACACTGGAAAACACAGCCATACTGGGAATCGAGGTTCCCGTGCGGGCTGTGTTTTTCAGAAGAAATGCAGGGACTTCTTCCCTGCGTGTCACGGGGCATGGGAGTCCATTCAAATGCTGCACAAAACGTGGCCCGCACGGATGCATATATGTGAACCTAGGGACATAAAGCAGCAGTGTGACTGGGGGATTCCCCAGGAATAAGATGGAGCAACACATGACCACCCTGCTGTATATGGGCTTCTCAGACCAGAGCTATTCGCCTCATCAACAGTGACCTCAATGAGTCAATGGCGCTGACAAGGCCGCTGATAGGGGGGTATAGGCAGTACTGCTTTACTGGAGAGGTGAGAGGCCTATCAGGCTGTACGGAGTCCCATGGTTTTTATGGTGGCCTTGGGTGGATGGGAGGGGGTTTCTTTCTAGAAATCCTGTTAGTTTGCCTTGGATCAACAGCATGTGAATCTCAAGAGGAAGAGATCGCTACTCCCGACCAGCCCAGGTAAACGATAAGGAGCAGCCTCAGCCTACATGTCTCCACCAAAACCACACACCCTGAGGCAATCCTTCCCTCTTTACATTGTTTGCCCTCTGGATTGGTTTTAGGAAAAGCCTGCACCCCATGGTCCCGGACAGAGGGATATGCTCTCACCTCTACTTCAAGTGGTGCCAAAAGCAATCTAAGAGGTCGCAGGAAGTGAATCTCATTAGTAGACTCACAAGACAGAAAGAGAAGAAAATATGAACCCTTTCCAACTCTAAAACTTTTGGCTGGGGTCTGAACCTCTTCGGGTCTGACCCTCGCAGGAAGTGAATCTCAGTTGGCTCACAAGACAGAAAGAGAAGAAAATATGAACCCTTTCCCACTCTACAACTTTTGGCTGGGGTCTGAACCTCTTGGGGTCTGACCCTCGCAGGAAGTGAATCTCATTAGTAGGCTCACAAGACAGAAAGAGAAGAATCTGAACCCTTTCCCACTCTAAAACTTTTGGCTGGGGTCTGAACCTCCTGGAGTCTGACCCTCACATGAAGTGAATCTCATTAGTGGGCTCACAAGACAGAAAGAGAATAAAATATGAACCCTTTCCAACTCTAAAAAGTTTTGCTGGGGTCTGAACCTCCTGGAGTCTGACCCTCACATGAAGTGAATCTCATTAGTGGGCTCACAAGACAGAAAGACAAGAAAATATGAACCCTTTCCAACTCTATAACGTTTGGCTGGGGTCTGAACCTCTTGGGGTCTTACCCTCGCAGGAAGTGAATCTCATTAGTAGGCTCACAAGACAGAAAGAGAAGAATCTGAACCCTTTCCCACTCTAAAACTTTTGGCTGGGGTCTGAACCTCCTGGAGTCTGACCCTCACATGAAGTGAATCTCATTAGTGGGCTCACAAGACAGAAAGAGAATAAAATATGAACCCTTTCCAACTCTAAAAAGTTTTGCTGGGGTCTGAACCTCCTGGAGTCTGACCCTCACATGAAGTGAATCTCATTAGTGGGCTCACAAGACAGAAAGACAAGAAAATATGAACCCTTTCCAACTCTATAACGTTTGGCTGGGGTCTGAACCTCTTGGGGTCTTACCCTCACAGGAAGTGAATCTCATTAGTGGGCTCACAAGACAGAAAGAGAAGAAAATTTGAACCCTTTCCAACACTAAAACTTTTGGCTGGGGTCTGACCCTCATGTCATGGCTACAGTAAATGAACAGATCACAGAGGTAGATCCAGATAGGGATCTGGAATATCATGCAGCCCACCTACATCATCCTTAAAATAAACAATCCATCTTGGGTGGACCGACCCTTGAAGTAGCTTAGCTTACCATCTTTGTGTATAAACTGCAAATATCTTAGAACTTGCTTTTGAATGAATATTTTCTGTATGGAAACCTGTACAGTCGTCTTACTCTCCGTCCTAGGCGTATGGGTCCTCCTGTGGTGCGTTACCTTGATTTTTGTGATGTCACCCTCTGT